TGCTAGTCCTGCTGCACCAACTCATATCTTGCTCTCAGCACAGCCCTGCCCCAGTTTAACTCAAGGTGTGTTTTGTAACCAAAGTAGTTAAACTGGTGCCAGTGTCTGTGTCAACCAGGGCTAAGGAGTGAGAAACTCTTCCAGGGCTCCTGTGTGTTGGTGACTGAAGCCCTACTCCTGTCAAACTTTTCAGCTCCTGTTCTGGGGCTGGGAAAGCAGCTCTGGGAAGCGTGTACAGTAATTCACCCCAGTCATTGAGGAGTGCACAGCACCGCACAGTGGCTGCGTCTAGACTGGCATGATTTTGCAGAAATACTTTTAATGGAAAAGTTTTTCCATTAAAAGTATTTCCGCAAAAGTGCATCTAGATTGGCACTGATGCTTTTGCGCAAAAGCATCCGTGGCCATTCTAGATGTGATTTTGCGCAAGAAAGCCCCGATCACCATTTTATCCATCGGGGCTTTTTTGCGCAAAACAGTTCTTCCCTGTGTACACTGGCCCTGTTGCTCAAGAATACTTGCGCAAGAGGGCTTTTTCCCGAGCGGGAGTGTGAAAGTATTTGCGCAAGAAGCACTGATTTTGTACATTACAAAGTCAGTGCTCTTGCACAAATTCAAGCGGCCAGTGTAGACAGCTGGCAAGTTTTTGCGCAAAAGCACTTGCTTTTGCACAAAATCTTGCCGGTCTAGACACACCTAGTGTGTCTCTGGGTCTAACACTTTTCTCTTCTCCATTTTAGATAATGACAAGAAGACCTTGGAAGCAGGTACCTGGCTAAATCCCCAGTTAATGGGCGTCTTTGGTTTCATGCTATAATGAGATAGAAAAATCTCTGTGTGGGTCTTCATCACCTTTATCCCAGGCAGCATTGGCAGCTCACACTTCAGCCTTAACTACAGAGAGTGAATGTAATGCACCTGGACAGGCAGATTCAGGTCATGTCTGCTCTGCCCCAAGTCCAGCATACAGGGGTGTGAATAGCTGAGTGCACTGCAGAGCTGCACTGTAACAGCCCCGTGTGGATACTGTGAGAACTAAAAAGTTCCTGCTTGACATTTCCACAGTTGTATTTGACAAAGACCATTCAGGCAGCTAGAAAGCTGCACGTTGGTGTGTGCTGCAAATCACACCTGCCCTTATAGAAACCTTGAGCCAGGGGCTGGGCAAATATTCTCCATGCAGCTCTGTGGTTACAGCTGAGTTGTGACCTGCAAAATGGCTGCTATTGCAACTTGCACACAGCTCTGACAGAGCCCCTCAGAGCTCTCTCTGCTATTCGACCATTCAGGCAGCTAGAAAGCTGCACGTTGGTGTGTGCTGCAAATCACACCTGCCCTTATAGAAACCTTGAGCCAGGGGCTGGGCAAATATTCTCCATGCAGCTCTGTGGTTACAGCTGAGTTGTGACCTGCAAAATGGCTGCTATTGCAACTTGCACACAGCTCTGACAGAGCCCCTCAGAGCTCTCTCTGCTATTCCAGCCATGAGCTCCTCAGTCTTGTCCTCTCCTGTTACCCCCTCAACCATACATTGTGGAAAGCAATTTATGGTTCCAGGGCTGGATCCAGCTCTCCAAGCCACTAGAGCTGGCCTGTGGCCCATTGGGAGCCTTAGATAAACTCGCCCCCCACAGAGTGGCTGGCTGCAGGGGCCATAAGCTTTTTGGAATGCTGTCACGAGCCAGGGAAGGAGCTTTGTATGCTGTCCCTGCCCCTAGCACAATCCCACAGATACCTGAACTGTGTTTGCAGGGCAGGCAGCATATGAAGTACCCATTGGCCCCCATCCTCCGGGCTCACAACAGTCAGAGAAGCACATGGCCCCCACAGCCAGCCGCTTTGAGCATCATGCAATATGGTACACAGGGAGCCTGCCTGAGGGACTTGCTGGGATGCTGGACCTAGCCTGCATCTGGCACTCCAGCCCCCCTCTCCCCCAATCCTCTGTCCTCCTTAGCCTGAATAATCCAAACCCTCTGCACCTTGCTCCTGCACCCATACCTCCTTCAAGCCCCTGCCCCCTAATCCCCTGCCCTGGGTCACAACCCTATCCCAGACCCTGCACCCCTTCTTCCAGGTCAGAATCCTCTCCTGCACCCATTCCTGTAGCCCAATCCCCTGCCCCAGATCACAAGCCCCTCCTTACCCAAACTCCCTCCTGCACCCCAATCCTCTATGCTGATCTCCCTTCTGCACTCAGCCTCCATCTCAGATACCACACCTCTTCCATTAATACCATGCAAGAATACAGCCCTTGACCACTTACCAATTCTTGGAATGGCCACCACCCATCAAAACTTACTGCCCATCCCTGCCATGAATGCAAGGTCCATGGAAAGCTCCTAGAACTGAGTTTTGCAGGGGGTCACCATCAATGTTCCCTATAATTTTCCTACTCCTCCGTGGAATTAATTTTGTTACGTGCATTAATATAGAGGGGATACGTATCAGGCTCTGGGCTGGGGTCAGGTGTGACAGTCAAAGGGCTGAAGCAAAAGGAGAGGAGAGGTGTGAGGACACTGGCTGGGGATACAGACTATGGAGTGGGACCAGGTTTGGGGAAAATGGGGTGAAGGAAGATGCTCCAGGACTATTACAAGGGAGAAGGCTTCTTTCCCCACCATGGCCCCACATGGGGCCAGATCGCTATGATCCTGAGTGGGGAGCTCAGAGCTCAACTGTCCCAGCCACTGTGGAGTCAGAGCCGGGGCTCTTAGGACTAGATGGGGGCCATGGCTGCCAGGACCAGATGAGGGCCACTGGGACAGTCACAGCCTGGAAGAGCCCCGACAATCTCCTGCTCCCACCTCCTTGCAGGTCCCTGCCTGAGCAGCTTCTTTCAGTGTCTGTTCTGTGCCAAGCTCACTGCTGAGCTTACCAGGAACTTAGGCCATGTCTACACTGCGGAGCTGCTTTGGGATTCTGGAATAACGAGCTCACTATTCCAACGTCCCTGTAACCCTCATTCCACGAGGAGTCAGGGATGTTTCAGAATAGCAGGTTATTTTGAGATAATTCTGTGTAGACGGTGCCACATTTTGAAATAGGCTGGTTCGATATAAGTTCGAAATACGATATGCTATTTGCATAGCCCAAGCTGTGTAGTTCATTTCGAGCTACAAGTGCAGTGTAGACGCACCCACAGATTCCAATGGGGGCAAACACAGCCAGTGCCTGCTGCCCCCCTGCTAGCCCAAGCCTAGGCTTCCTCTTCCCAGCTCCAGCTCTGCTAGCATCCCTCAGTCCCACTCTCCGCTTCCCTGCAAGTCCAGCCCCAGTCCTGTCCTGTTCCTCCCTCCTTGTCCAAGCTGCGCCCCATAGGAACAGAGAAGCCAAACCCCACTGTGCTCTGCAAGGTGCACTCTGCGGCCCACACAACCCACGCTGTTCTCTCAAGAGCTGGGACAGACCTGACCTTGTATCTAGGGGTGGGCAGTAAATCCAGAGCGACCCAGCCCCACAGGGCCCTTCCCCAACTAAGCCCCTGCCAACCACTGGCCCTAGAGCTACATGCTTGTGCAGACCAGCACCACACAGGGATTGCAGGCTCACAAATAGGAGATCTGCGGCAGGGTGACAGGCAGGGCAGGGGGTACACATTCCGGGGTGATGCTTCCTTCCCTCATTCTATGCAGATCCATCATGGGGAAGGGTGCTCCCCCCAGCAATGTGTCTGACTTGTGCTGGTGGTTCTGAGATCCTGGGCTGGTTGGGTGCATCTAAACTGTAGCAGACACAGGCTCAGTCTGCTTGTGCACTGACAGTCACACTGTGGCTGGAATAGCAGGGGCAGTAGTTCAGGGCAGTTGCCTGAGAATGTACTCAGGGGCTATGAGTAGGTTTGTATTTGAGAAGCTAGTTCAAGCTGCTGCACCTGCCACCACCCAGCTACAAGGTGCTCATTAGCTCTAGCAGAGCTGGCACGTGTCTACCTGCCCAAACTGGGACACTTGCTCCCAGGGACAGAGTAGATGTACCCAGTTTATAATGCAGTAGTTCAGGGCAGTTGCCTGAGAATGTACTCAGGGGCTATGAGTAGGTTTGTATTTGAGAAGCTAGTTCAAGCTGCTGCACCTGCCACCACCCAGCTACAAGGTGCTCATTAGCTCTAGCAGAGCTGGCACGTGTCTACCTGCCCAAACTGGGACACTTGCTCCCAGGGACAGAGTAGATGTACCCAGTTTATAATGGCCCTTATTTAACTCACAATGGTCTTCTTTTCTTCTCTCCCCAGAATGCCAGGAGCTGCGTCAGAGGCTGGGGGGGTGCTGCACCTGCCACCACCCAGCTACAAGGTGCTCATTAGCTCTAGCAGAGCTGGCACGTGTCTACCTGCCCAAACTGGGACACTTGCTCCCAGGGACAGAGTAGATGTACCCAGTTTATAATGGCCCTTATTTAACTCACAATGGTCTTCTTTTCTTCTCTCCCCAGAATGCCAGGAGCTGCGTCAGAGGCTGGGGGGGTTAATTCACCTCCCCAATAGAGCCCCTGGGCAGAGGCTGACAGACACACATGGTGCAGACCAGAGACAGAAGCATCTGAGTCATTACTTTCCCCAGTCACAGCAGTGCTGTGTTCTTTCCACAGCAGCCACAGAGGTGACCTGGCTTTTGACAATTCAATGCGAGTCACACTGTTCTGGTGCAGGGGAAGGGGGCTAGTTGCTTTCTCTAGACGGCTGTGGCAGTGAAAGAAGATGAACAAGAGACTGGGCTCAGACTCACATTTCCATGCTGTGTTGCCAAGGCCAGATCCTAGATCAGAGCTCCCAGCATCTGCACGTCCATCCCTAGTCACACCTGGAGGGTGAAGTTCTGATGCCCCAAAGAGCTGTTAGGGACAAAGCCATGAAATTCCCCTGAGACAGAAGGGCTGAGAATGGCAGTGCTGTATCAGGATCCATTAGATGGTTTGTGTCTTGGAGAGTTTAGTAAATTACTGCCTGGCTCATGTCAAAGCTGCTGGTTCCTGCACTGGGGCTGTGGAGTGTCTGCAACTAACCCCAGGAGCTATGGGGCCCAGAGCATCACACAGCAGCTGTTTCTGTCTCTTACACTTTTCTCCTCCCTATTTCAGGTGCTGAGAGGTTGATGTTGGAATCAGGTACTTGGTTAAGCCTAATTAATGTAGTTCATGTGAACTAGGTACCATTTAGTGTGCACCAGCTGCAGTCACATAAGCGTTATAGAGCAGCACTTTGCTGCGTGCTGCAGCTCACACCCCTTCTAGTGTGAAAAAGGGGGCTGGATAGAGAAGCCCTGCATCAGGGACTAGGAAAACTTCCTCCAGGCAGCTCTGGGGATGCATCGCAATTCTCACCTGCGAAGTATCTGCCTTGCATGTTCTGAGTGCCCTCCTTGCACAGCTCTGATGGTCACCTCAGTCCCTGGCTGGTGCCCATCACTCCCCAGCCCTCCCTGCTATCCCAACCCTAAACTCTCCAGTTCTATTCCTTTCCAACCTCCACTCTCCTGCCCTAGGCTGGGGCCTCAAAAAAACATAGACACAAACCCTGGTGCACTCTGTATCTTTTCAGTGAGGCACTTTCTGATGGGACCCACAACCCAAAGAGTTCTCATGAGACCCAGGACAGGATATGACCTCTTGTCTGAAGGGGTGCATAGTAAATTCAGGATCACCCAGCCCGACAAAACCCTTCCCCAGCAGAGCCCCTGCCAACCACTGACCGTAGATGTTAGAGAAGAAACAGGCGACCCAGGAACAGATGGGCTCAATGGAACTGCTTTACTGCCCATGAACATTTACCTCAGACAATGTCTGAGTGGCAAAAACCTGGCACCAATTATACCCTTTTGTATATTTTAGTGTGTTAATTCACACATCTATCACTACTTTCCCTAAAAACTTATTTAGTACTCATTTTAATATTCATTTTAAATACGTGAATATTAATAAGCAAATACTGAGTACAATTATACCCACCCCTAATTACTATTTACATAATTTCTAATTAAATCAACACTTTTCTACAAATACCATAAACTTTCTAAACCAGCAGGTTACAGAAATTACAAGAAATTTAACCCTGAAGATATTTTATACAGAGCCAATGAGAATACACAAAAGAGACAACCAAATAGAGCAGCTGCATGATTATCTATTTTTCTAGAATGTAGAAATGAAGGACAAGAGCATGTTCAAGGGTAATACCTGGTGTAGCTGAAATCCTTACCACCATCCCCTATTCATTTTACATATCCTAACAGTAGAATCACACACTCATGAGGTACATCTAGACTACAGGCTTTTGTCAACAGAGGCTTTGTCGACAGATACTGTTGACAAAGCTTCTATCAACAAAGAGTGTCTGGACTATATCCAGTTCTGTCGACAAAGCAAGCTACTTTGTCGACATGAGAGTGTAGACGCAAAGGACAGTGTAGATGTGATAACACCTTCTGTCAACAGAACTGTCGACAAAAGGTGTTATTACTCGTAGAATGAGGTTTACCACCATCAACAAAACTGCTGAGTTCTGTTGACGTTATGTTGACAGAACTCAGTGGTAGTATAGACGCAGGTAAAGTGGACTTTTGTCGACAAAACCCTGTTGTCTAGACACACCCTATCTGTCGACAAAACTTTTGTTGACAAAAGCCTGTAATCTAGACACACCCTAAGGGTATGTCTAGACTACATGGCTCTGTCACCAGAGCCATGTAGATTAGTATACTAGACATACCCAAATGAAGCGGTGATTTAAATAATTGCTGCTTCATTTAAATTAAAATGGCTGCTGCGCTGTGCCGATCAGCTGTTTGTCAGCTCAGAGCGCTAGTCTGGACACTCCACGGTCGATATCAAAGGCATTTGTCGACCTCCCAGTCATGCCTCCAGACTACCACGCTGTGCCTCCAAATAGCTGATCGGCTCAGCGCGGCAGCCATTTGAATTTAAATGAAGTGGCGATTATTTGCAGAGCACAGAAATAGGAGGGCTGAGGCTGAGTGACAGGCTGTAGCAGGGCAGCCCTCTCTCTATGTGCTTGCTACATGTTCTGGTGTGATGCTCCCCTCCCTCATTCCTGGCAGTGCCATCAATGTGGGGAAGGGGTTGTGCTGCCCCAGTGGTAATTAGTGGCCTCCTCTGAGCAGCACTGCCAATTTTCAGTTGCACAAAACCAAACACCCATACCCCACCCCTTCCCTGAAAGCCTGCCCCCTTTGCCATCCTTCCTCTGAGGCTCAATCCCCATTCTCCCCCTCCTTCAACTTAACTCATTTTCACCAGGCTGGGGCTGCGGTATTCAGAGTGTGGGAGAAAGTACAGGGTCTGGCTGAAGTGTGGGCTTTGGGGTGCAGTTTGGGATCGTGTGCTTCCGGGTCAGAGGGTCTGCTTGGCTCATTGGTATGTCTGCTAGGCAGCTGGGACCAAGGGTCCTGTCTCGGGAAGCCAGACACACCTTGCTCTGCTTGAGCTGGTGCACTTAGGGTATGTCTAGATTACATGGCTCCGTCAATGGAACCATGTAAACTAGTTTGCCCGACATAGTCAGTGAAGTGGGGATTTAAATAATCCTTGCTTCATTAAAATAAAAATGGCCACCGTGCTGTGCTGATAATCAGCTGATCCGTCATAGCGCGTCAGTCTAGATGCAGATCAGTTGACAAGAGAAGCCTTTGTCAACCGCTCCTGTAAACCTCGTTTCACAAGGCATAAGGGAGCAGTCAACAAAGGCTTCCCTTGTTGACTGATCCGTGTCTAGACTGCTGCGCTATGCCGGATCAGCTGATTATAGGCACAGCGCGGTGGCCATTTTTATTTTAATGAAGCAAGGATTATTTAAATCCCCACTTCACTGACTATGTCGGGTAAACTAGTTTACATGGTTCCATTGACGGAGCCATATAATCTAGACATACCCTTACAGAAGGAGTGTGGCAGGGCTCAGGGGAGTGATTCAGGGCAGGAACATTAATTTCTACCTAAGGTGTGCGAGTGGGTTGGTACTGGAGCTGATTGCCCAAGCTGCTGCTTCTAGCTCAGTGACTCGCGCAGACCTGGCACCTACCTGCCTCCCTGACTGGAAGCTCCAGCCCAGCTGCAGTACTGATGTACCAGGGTTTGGAACAGCTGTACCCACTCTCCTCACAACAACCCACATCGAACCCATATGGGTCTCCTTTTCTTCTCTCCCCAGAGTGCCGCCCAGCCGCCCCCCTGGGCAGAGGCTCCCAGCCACACACATAGTGCAGGTTGAAATTAGTCACAGTAGTCACTCAGCCCCATGGCAGCACCGGGAGGTCTCTGTAGAAGTCGCAGGGCTACCTGCTCTTCTGTCTGCATAGGCAATGGAACGTAGGAGTGTGGGGGCTGTTGCAGCACCCCCTGTCTACAAGTGGTTTCTATTATACACAGAGTTTACAGCTGGGCTCAGGAGCACTCAGCACTTCCACTATAAAATGGTTCCACCCCCTGTGTCTGGACAGACAGCCCAGTGTCACCTGGCCTTTGTCAGTCCAGAGCCGGCCACATTGCTCTGCTGCAGGAGAAGGGGCCAGTCACTTTCTATAGATGCCTGTGTGACGTAGTGGGGGTAATTGCTGGGCTGTGGTGACCCCTGCTGTCTGGAGCAAGACCCAGCAGGGAAAACCTGGCTAGGCAGAGATAAGGCCAAACTGGTTGAACCAGTGGCCAGACACCCCCCATGGAGAGGAACAAAGGAAGGTGGAATGCTGCCCTGACTGCGGGGGCAGGGCTGGAGGGGAATTTAGTTAGACTGTGGAAGAGCATGGAGGAGAGCCTAGGGGAAGGGGCTGGAGTTTAGGGGCCCAGTCTCCCCCATCTCAAGGGGGCCTGAGGCATCCTAGCCCAGTTCCTGTAACCAGATTACATCTGTGCTGCGCTGTGCTGGAGGAGCAATAAACCACCCTCAATTCCACTGGCTGGTGCAGTCTGTTTGTGCCATTTCGGGGTGCAGGAGACGGGGAACCCCCAACGCGCCGTCACACAAGCCCAGTTCATGAAGCCTGGCTTCATAGGTCATGCTCTCTTAACCTTTAATCATTCTTGTCGCTCTTCTCTGTACCCTTTCCAATTTCTCCACATCTTTCTTGAAATGTGGCACCCAGAACTGGACACAGTACTCCAGCTGAGGCCTAACTAGTGCAGAGTAGAGCGGCAGAATGACTTCACGAGTTTTGCTTACAACACACCTGTTGATACAACCTAGAATCATATTTGCTTTTTTTGCAACAGCATCACACTGTTGACTCATATTCAACTTGTGGTCCACTATGACCCCTAGATCCCTTTCCGCCATGCTCCTTCCTAGACAGTCGCTTCCCATCTTGTATGTATGGAACTGATTGTTCCTTCCTAAGTGGAGCACTTTGCATTTCTCTCTATTAAACCTCATCCTGTTTACCTCCGACCATTTCTCTAACTTGCTAAGGTCATTCTGAATTATGTCCCTATCCTCCAAAGAAGTCGCAACCCCACCCAGTTTGGTATCATCTGCAAACTTAATAAGCGTACTCTCTATCCCAATATCTACATCATTGATGAAGATATTGAACAGTACGGGTCCCAAAACAGACCCTTGAGGAACTCCACTTGTTATCCCTTTCCAGCAGGATTTAGAACCGTTAACAACAACTCTCTGACTACGGTTATCCAGCCAATTATGCACCCACCTTATCGTGGCCCTATCTAAGTTATATTTGCCTAGTTTATCAATAAGAATATCATGCGAGACCATATCAAATGCCTTACTAAAGTCTAGGTATATGACATCCACCGCTTCTCCCTTATCCACAAGGCTCGTTATCTTATCAAAGAAAGCTATCAGATTAGTTTGGCATGACTTGTTCTTCACAAACCCATGCTGGCTATTCCCTATCACTTTATTACCTTCCAAGTGTTTGCATATGATTTCCTTAATTACCTGCTCCATTATCTTCCCTGGGACAGACGTTAAACTGACCGGTCTATAGTTTCCTGGGTTGTTCTTATTCCCCTTTTTATAGATGGGCACAATATTTGCCCTTTTCCAGTCTTCTGGAATCTCCCCTGTCTGCCATGATTTTTCAAAGATCATAGCTAAAGGCTCAGATACCTCCTCTATCAGCTCCTTGAGTATCCTGGGATGCATTTCATCAGGACCTGGTGACTTGCTGACATCTAACTTTCCTAAGTGATTTTTAACTTGTTCTTTGTGTATCCTATCTTCTAAACTTACCCTCTCTCTGCTTGTATTCACTACGTTAGGCACACCTCCAGACTTCTCGGTGAAGACCGAAACAAAGAAGTCATTGAGCATCTCCGCCATTTCCAAGTTCCCTGTTACTGCTTCTCCCTCCTCACTAAGCAGTGGGCCTACCCTGTCCTTGGTCTTCCTCTTGCTTTTAATGTATTTATAAAAGGTCTTCTTGTTTCCCTTTATGCCTGTAGCTAGTTTGATCTCATTTTGTGCCTTTGCCTTTCTAATCTTGCCCCTGCATTCCCGTGTTGCTTGCCTATATTCATCCTTTGTTAGTTGTCCTAGTTTCCATTTTTTATATGACTCCTTTTTTATTTTGAGATCATGCAAGATCTCCTTGTTAAGCCAAGCTGGTCTTTTGCCATATTTTCTATCTTTCCTACACAGCGGAATTGTTTGCTTTTGGGCCCTTAACAACGTCCCTTTGAAATACTTCCAACTCTCCTCAGTTGTTTTTCCCTTCAGTCTTGCTTCCCATGGGACCTTACCTACAAGTTCTCTGAGCTTATCAAAATCTGCCTTCCTGAAATCCATAACCTCAATTGTGCTGGTCTCCCTTCTACCTTTCCTTAAGATCATGAACTCTATTATTTCATGATCACTGTCCCCTATACTGTCTTCCACTTTCAAGTTCTCAACTAGTTCCTCCCTATTTGTTAAAACCAAATCCAGAACAGCTTCTCCTCTGGTAGCTTTTTCAACCTTCTGAAACAGAAAGTTGTCTCCAATGCAGTCCAGAAACTTATTGGATAGCCTGTGCCCCGCTGTGTTAGTTTCCCAACATATGTCTGGATAGTTGAAGTCCCCCATCACCACCAAATCTTGGGCTTTGGATAGTTTTGTTAATTGTTTAAAAAAGGCCTCATCCACCTCTTCCACCTGGCTAGGTGGCCTGTAGTAGACTCCTAGCATGATATCACCCTCGTTTTTTACCCCTTTTAGCTTAACCCAGAGACTCTCTACACAGCTATCTCCTACGTTCATCTCCACTTCAGTCCAAGTGTGTACATTTTTAATATACAAGGCAACCCCTCCTCCCTTTTTTCCCTGTCTGTCCTTCCTGAGCAAGCCCT